TTTACTATAATAGTTTTTAATATAATATATAAGTATGATATTGAACAGATAAAACAAGAAATATTTTAATTATATAATATTTGTAACTCAATTGGTAAATTAATAGGTAATCTTGAGATAAAATAATGAGTGATTTCTGAAGAAAAAAAATTATAGGCTAAAAAGTTCACGTGTTTAATATATTTGTAATAGAAAAATTGTAAACACAATTACTCAATAAGTACTACATAAAAAATAATGTTTGAGAGGACTACAAAAATTTTGCTATACTGCAATGAAAAATTTAACGGTAAGGTATTATACTGAAAATTTCAACGAATATGTTGCTTTCATTGGCTATTTCAATAGAGTTAAAATTAAATTACATGAATTTTAGTGGATGTAAAGATTTCAATTACCTGAATTTTTATTGGAATTTATTTTTTGGACCATATTTCGATCGTTTAAAAAATTGTCACTGGTATTATGCAAAAGTTCAGTAGAAGTTCCATTGGAAAGATAATTGCAGTGATAGATCCAAAATAATTTCACATTGGGAGCATTATTTAGTTAATATAAAAAAATATACCATCAAAATAACATGTCATTGCAATTTATAAATTATACTTTACATAATCTATCAACTTTCTCATTTGTAATACATTTTAACAAATCTATACAATCACAATAAGGTAAAATATATTTAAGAAACCAAAAGTCAAGATTTTTTCAAAATCAACATAAGAAAATCGTTATATTTGTTGTAATTTTTGTTGGAATTTTCTCATTTTCTTGTAGTAAAACTAAGACTCCAAATCTATAAAAAAAAAAAATACATTATATATAATATTGTATGCAACTATTATTATGAAAATTTTTGATACGATAAAAAATATAACACATTCAATGTAATTGGCGTTCAATTTATGATAAGAATTAATTTTTTTCAAAGCAAACAAGATACTTTGAAAGGTCCTTAATTATTTTATTAGTATTGTAATAACTAAATAAGGGGTAAGAAAGATGACAAAACTTATAACTCTCATTAAATCCAAAAGTAAAAATGTTGATAATATTACTTAATGTACAATATCAATTGGAGCTGGCTAATGATAAATATAAAACATACTTAAGATACACATATATTTTAACTAGAACTTGTAAGTACATAATATATATATATATATATTCATATCTATATTTCTTTAAAGGTGGGTCTGTTAATCTTAAAAAATTTTAGTTAAGATTTTTATTACTTTCTATCATTAAATTTTTTAATTTTCAAATACTTCATATTTTTTATTTGTTACCTTTTTATATGTAATATATCACATCATTTATTTTCAATGATGTTTGAGTTGACCCATATATTGCAATAAAATAAAAATAATATAATTATTTATATTGATATAAAATAATATATATATATATATATTAGTACTTATTTAAAATAATAAATTAGTCTTAAAGTATATAATATAATAAATTTTATATTCAAGTTAAATCAATTTTATTAAGTATAAAATAACATAAGATAAACTTGTGGTATGTTTTCCATACATAAATTTGAAAAAATTCATATTAAATAAAAATAAAAAAATGGATGTAAACTTCTAACTGTTCCCACGTTTTGGCTAGAGCGCCCAAATCCGATATATAGTTAACACGAGTTTAATGCTGAAACTATGGCAAATGCACCTTAGGGTACAAAAGAAGCGAAGCAATGTGAAGTCGTAGGTAAAAGGGAAGGCTAGACCAGAGAAAGGAAATGAAATAACATTAGCTATGTGAAGTCAATTACTGCTGCAAAATGAACCCTATAATGGTGGTACCATATATGTATTCAGTTATTATGAAAATGACTTAGTTAATTAATATTTTATCAAACATTGGAAAAAATTCTAAAACTTTTTAATCTAATAATTCGTATAAAAAGTACAATTTTATCAAATATATTAAATTATATTTAATATTATGTGATTATATTAATTGTAGTTCAATAAATAAGATAATTTGATACCATCATTATATAAAACACATACAAAAAATAACATAATACGTAAAAATGTGTTTTAGTTACTTAGCAAATAAAATATTATTTGTCTATAGAATAAGAAACAAATAATATAATAGTAATGCAATGAGAAAAAGAAAGCATGCTAATTTTATTAGAAAAGTATGAATACTAATATTTACAAACAAAAAGTCTTTTAAAATTACTACTTTTTTGTTGCTAGCGTTTAGATATATGGACTCTGTAAGAAATTGGTTCTCATAAATAATAATCATATATTATTTATTTTCAATTTTAAATAATTAAAAAATCTAAAAATTTGTATACATGATGTATATTTTAATCATGACTCCATAATAATAAACTTTACAAATGACTAAAAGTATTGTCATATAATGGAATTCTAATTCTTCTGTTGTCAATTTTTTAACAAATGATATGCTTCTCAATATTTTCTCATTGTTTTGTTTTATCATTGCAAAAAATAGATTAAATTGTTCATCTATATTCTAGATAAATAACACTGAAAATGAAATGTAGGAGTATCAAAACAGTTTTGAATGTTAGAATTAAGTTGTCACTTTTTATAGAAATATTTATAATCTCATTGGTGTAATGTGCTTGAACATATGTACAATTACTTTAGAGGTACTTTCAGGTAATGTATGATGATTTCAAAAAATAATTTAGCACCTCGGGAAAAGTACATGTAACCAAGATTTTGGAAAGTCAACTTTTATTTGGAGATAAAATTCATTCCCACCTCGTGGGGCGATGCATCAATGGGGTAGACACCAATATATCTAGAGATAGAGGAATGTAGTAGTTTATACAGTGATAAAAATTATCAACAATTTTAGTGACACCGTTAGTTATTTCATAGAGATATTTATCATTTGTTAGTAGAAGTACCTTGTTATAAAGATCATAAGATCATGAAGTGTGACTATATGTTGGGTCAGAATGTTTCTTAAGTATTTGAATAAAATTGGCGTTTTGCCAAATTAATTAAGAGGAATTTTGCAATAGTATTGATGTATTGGATTCCAACGACTATAAATGTTCTTATGAGAAAGTTAAAACTAAAATGAAAAAAAATCTTTGTGTTTTTTTTATTAGGAATTTGTTTTTTTATATATATTTTTTTTGGGGTTTGTAAAACTTTATTTCATTATTTTTATATGAGGACATCATTATGTTAATTCTAAATAAAAAAATCACATATGAGTTCATTTTTTCTATATTTTACTTCATTTATGCAATGATATGTTTAATAAATACATTAATTTATTTTACAAACTTATTCCGCGAAAATCATTCGACACCACGTGCATCGCACGTGCACTTTACTAGTGTCAATTAAATGGCCAAGTTAATAGTTAATTGAACACTTGAACGAAAATCAGTTCTTAACAAATCTATATATACATTAAAAGTCAACCTATTTACCAAAAACAATAGCAAGAAAAGTCAACACACATTTAATGCATACTTTATTTGAAAATTTTTTACTATATGCATTAAATGCTTTCATATTTACATTTACTATCCAAATATGATCTTAAAGATTTTTTCCTTAAATAATTTATGTAATGATTTTACTGGTATCCATTATAATTAATATTTGTCGAGTAATATTTTTTAACCTTTATTTAATTATATAACACTAGTATTTTTTAAAAAATTAATATTATTTATTATTTAAAAGGTAATGATCACATCATTAAATGATTTTATTGATGGTTAGATAATAAAATTATAGTTATTCTTTAAAATTTTGACATGTTATTTATTTGTATATTATTGTCAACTATGATAGTGTTTTTATCACTTTTTTTTGTTATGTTTCAAAAATGAACTTATTGTAAAATATTTTCCTATTGCATAGTATGTTAAATAAACTATAAAGTCTTAGGATGAAAATTATAAAAAATCTCTTGATTACGTAAGGGATTTATTTTTTGGCAATTGCTAAATCATTTAAAAAAAAAGAATTATTATGAGAAAATTGAATTCTAAAAAACATGTGTGTGTATTTTGTAAACATTTATACTCAAAATTTTATTTTGAATTTCATTACATAAAGAAGACTACTTCTATAACTTTTATAAATAATAATAATTACATTATATGACTGTAAATTTTATAATAAAATAATAATTGGTATTATATGGTGAACAATAACTAATAAAATTTTTATTTTTTCCTATATCAATGAATAAATATGTATTCTAAAATCAAATAAATATTAGTATGACGTGTTAGCGGAATTATATATTAATTAACATGTTAATTTTCTGACTTAAATAAACGCCACTTATTAAAAGATGTGAAATATGGATGATCCAAGCCTATTGTTTTTTGTCTAGACGTACAAGTCCTATAGAAATAAATGATTTATTATATGTGTCACGTGCATCGCACGGGGTATGACCTCAAAATTGTGTACCCCGTACATCACCTATATTCACATTTTGGCCTATTACAGGTCACGTACTATATATATCCCGTACATTTTTCTTTATTCATTTATATAATTATAAAACTTGATAAATGGCCTTAATTTTGTGCACCCCGTGCATCGCACGGGATCTGTACTAGTAAATACATTAAGGCATTCAGGTATTTATTCGCTTTGTACATAAATTTGTTTTATACAATTTAATTTTAGAAATCGGGATAAACTGAATTTTAAAAACTAATTTTCTAACAAATAAAAAAAAAAAAAAAAAAAAAAAAAAAAAAAAAAAAAAAAAAAAAAACACAATACGAGGCCTCGCGCTCCTCGTGCCCCTCGTGCCAAAATAATATTTGCGATAATCAAAACGCCCATACACCACACAAACGGTCAAATGACAAATCAACGTATCCACAATTATGGAAACGAAAAATGATACTAAGCAAGGAAAGGTCCAAAACATAGTTATAAATACAACAAAAGTTGGGCAGTGAGGACCTCATCTCACTTACACCACACCCCACCCCCAAAGGGAGAAGAAAAGAAAAAATGTGGCAATTCGCAGCCATCTCAGTAGCGACCATAGTGGTGGTGTGGCTATGGCAAGTATTTCACTGGGTTTGGGTTGAGCCCAGGAGGCTTGAGAAGCTCCTCCGCAAGCAAGGCTTCAACGGAAACTCTTACAAGTTTCTCTACGGCGACACCAAGGAGATCGCCGACATGTACCGTCAAGTGCACTCTAAGCCGATTGGCCTTCACGACGACATCGTGCCTCGTGTTATGCCCTTCATTCTCAAGACCATCAATACTTATGGTATTATGTTGTGTGCCAATTCATTGTAATATTGTTCATTGAAATGAAATATGTGTGGTGTGGCAATGTTTTGTTGAGCCTCTGCCTGACTGAGATTATTGTTCGATTTGGTTTAATTAAATTCTAATCTGAATAAACGGGTCAATAGATTATTTGTGTGAGTCGAATCATGTGTATACACTTGACATGAGGCGAAGCATGGTTTTTGCAGGCAAGAACTCGTTCGCGTGGATCGGGCCAAGGCCACGTATTTACATATCGGATCCCGACCACATGAGGGAGGTGCTGACAAGGCACACCGACTTCCAGAAGAACTTCAGGACCACGAACAAGGTCTACAAATTGCTCGTTGGTGGCATTGTCGAGTTTGAGGAGGACAAATGGACGAGGTACAGGATGAAATTGAACCCGGCTTTTCACTTGGACCGCTTGAAGGTGAGTTTTTTCCATCTTTTTTTTTTTTTTTTTACTTCAATTACCTTTTTTGTTATAAATTGATGATAATCCAAAACGATATATATGTATAGATTAATTGCGGTTGCTTATTATATAGTTAATGTGTGCATGTACATGATGATGTATGTGTGTATGCAGCATATGTGCCCCATAGTCCAAGGCTGCTGCGAGACCATCCTAACTGACTGGAAGAAGAAGATGAAAGACGGGTCGGGTGTGGTGGACGTGTTCCACTATCTGGAGGCCTACACCGGCTCAGCCGTGACGTGCGCCCTATTTACGCATGCCTTTGATGATGAAATGAGAAAGTGCTTCCATCTCCTTAGGGACCTTTCCCTCATGGCCAACATAGCCGTCAGGACCTTCGATGTTCCCGGGAAAGGGTAAAAAGAGAAACGAACATATCAATTTTTTCTTTCTTTTTTTTTTTCAACTACTACCTATATATATAAATGAGTTTTAGTAATAACATTTTTCCTTGATATAGGTACCTACCGACAGCACTACACCGGAAGGCTAGAGCAATGGAGGGCGAAGTCCGTGACTCGTTCCGGAAAATGGTGAACGATCGGGTAAAGAAGAGGCGGGCAGGAATCGAGGACGGGCGCGACCTATTCGACCTCTTCCTGGACGAGCTTTATGACGAGAACAGTGCCAAGGAGGTGGATGTTGAAAGCATTGTTGACGACGCTATTGGAAACTGCAAGCTCTTCTACTTTGCTGGCTACGAAACCACTTCTAATCTTCTGGTGTGGACCATGGTGAACCTTGCTATCCACCAGGACTGGCAGACACGCGGTCGGGAGGAAGTCTACCGCGTCCTGGCAGGCCGCAAGAAGCTGCACCCGGATGACCTCTCCCAGCTCAAAATTGTAAGGACAAACATATATTAATCAGACCACTTGTGATTATTATATAAAGTATGATTTGCTGTAACCCTCCTAACTCAATGCCCATATATAGTGTAACATGATCATACACGAGGTATTGCGCCTGTTCCCTCCGGTGTTTGAGCTGTCGAGGGTGGTGGAGGAGGACACGAAGCTGGGTGACTATATCATTCCCAAGGACATCCTTATCCAGCTCCCGATTGCCATGCTCCACCGCAAGCCCGAGATATGGGGGCCCGACGCCCACCTGTTCAAGCCCGAGCGCTTTGCAGACGGCATCCTCAAGGCCGCTAACGGGCAGGCGGCTCTTCTTCCCTTTGGGTGGGGCCCGCGCATCTGCATCGGCCAGAACTTTGCCATCATGGAGTCCAAGATCTTCCTCGCCACACTCCTCCAGACCTTCACTTGGGACCTCTCCCCTGAGTACATCCACGCCCCCTACGCGGCATTCACTGTCCAGCCCCAGCATGGGGCGCCACTCGTGCTTCAAGAGATCCGCACCTGAACCAGATATTACTAAAATTCAAGTATATCAATTCGGCCTATGTTCTGGCCGATGCCAATTTTAAGTGTTATATAAGTGAAAGATTGTACTTGCATTTGTGGTTTCGGATTGTGGTGTTCCGGCGATATGTTTCCAGCAGTTAAATTAATATGTACTGTACCACTTATATGCTACTTTATTTCAATAAAATTCCCCGTGTTCATGTTTTATGGTTGCCCTTCCTGCTCGTCTGAATTGTGATCGTGGAACTTGTTTTATGTAGCTGCTCAACAATGTTGGGATCACTATCTCGGCCTATGGCTTCCTGGTCCAAATTTCTGTATGGGTTTGGCCCTCTTTGGTGGCATCTAATGTGGACCGTTGAATCTAAGATTAAATTGTGGCCCTTCATCTACCACATTAAAAGGCCCTCCTCTTGCCCTTGCCGGTGGCTGATCTCTCTCTATGAACCTCTTTAACTCTATAAGTCATTCTGACCAAGTCCATTCACTCCAAATTCATGTTGATGTGAATTATGTGCACTGTAATTGGTGTGAAAATGAATCGCTAGTTGATTCCGAATGCACTTTCACATGTCTCCATTTAGATTTTTTTTTTTTTCGAACTACAGAGATTAAACATGATTTTATGTCTATTGGAAATGAAAAATATTGTGATGTTACTGGTATTGGACATGTACACCTTAAGTTTGACTCGTTATGTGTTTACTTTGACAAGTGTTCACCGTATGTGTCCTAACTTGATTTTATATGTTGTCCTTGAGGATAATGGGTTAGATGGTGATATAGAATATTATACTAGACGATTTTAATGGATAAGAAGAAATATATCGAGAAATAAGCCTACACATGGGTTAAGACACATGTCATAATGGTATTGCCAAGTCAAACTTGGGAACTATGGTACACCTTCCCTTTAAAAGGGGCCTAATGTATCCCAAAAATACACTCTCTCTAAATTCGCTATTATAATCTCATATTGCACTACATCTCTAGCGTGTGCTGATTTAGACATCGGAGGCTTGACATCGGGATCCCTCCCGGCGTTGAGTTCTTGCAGGTACGGTGGCAGTCCGTCTTAAAGGAGCTCGGGTGAAGTTCATTTCACCAACATTGGCGCCGTTTGTGGGACGTGTTCAAAAAGCTAAAGAGTCGACCATGGCAAACGGAGTTCACGGAGTTCAAGAAAAAAAAAATCTAAAAAATTTTCTAGCAAATTTCTTCACCTCCATCGGCTGTTGCCACTTCTGCTGCCGTCAGTGGCCACCTCCGCAGTCGGCCAAAATGCTCCAAGCAAAATTCTACCGGGAATGTCGCCATTTTTTTCGGTCAACATTTTGGATCTAGGAAATTTTGGTCAACTCCGGTCTTCTTCTTCAATTCTTTTGGGTGGATTCTCGGCCTTCAAATTCATTTTCCCGACGTTCCATGAGAGCTATCAAAAACTGAGGACACCATCAAAAATCTCCTCGCCCAGGTGCACCATCGGTCGGTCATCTTCGCCGGAGCCAACGATCTTTCTCCGGCAGCATTTCCTTTCAGGAAAGTCGCAGTCCTTGTTCGCGTAACCCAGCTCACGCCCCTTCAGCCCCCCTCAGCCCGCGTCTTTCATCCCTCTAGCTCTGCTCGTATACGCACGACCCATTTTCTCGACGTCCACCCCAACGTCCACAGCCCAGGAGAGGAGCCCAACACACATTCAGCCCAACAACATCAAGTGCGGCCCAATTCGCATCATCCCATCGCGTAGGGAATGGAAACGCATGCGGGCCGCATCCAGCCTGCGCGACCTACATCTCTCACAGCTTCAGCCCGTGTGTGGCCAGCCCCCAACCATCGTGTGGCCCAGCCTCAGCCTGCTTCTCTCACAACATCAGACCCATGAGGGCCTGCTTTCAACCTGCATCCCTCATAGTGTTAGGCCCATGTGAGCCCATTAAACTGGATTATTTAATGAGCCCATTCAACAGGGCTAAAACACACTAAAAAACATATATTTAATGAGCAACACTGGCGGGAAAAGTAGATTTCAGGGGCAAGTACGCCCAGGTCGCGAGTGTGCAGGTTGCTAGTGGAAACTCGCGACCTAGGCGAGTTTAGGTTCGCGGGCGCGGGCTGAGCTAGGCGTGTCAAGGAGGAGGACTCACGGGCAAGCGTGAACTCACGACCTGGGCGACTATTTTCACGGTCGTGCTCTTAGTGGCGAGTGCAGGGCGGTTGTAAAATAACTCGCATGGCACGGAGCAGAAACTCGCGGGCACAACTTGAACTCGCAAGTTGGGCGAAACCAAATTTGAGAGCGCAGGACTAGTGAGGCGCGCGCGGAGCTTGTGGTGCGCAACACTCGCGACCTGGGCTAAGATTTTTGCGGGCGCGAGTAGGCCTTGGCAGCGGGCGTGCGGGCGAGCATGGGGTCTCTTCGGGCGCGCGGGCGTTTGGCGCTGCCGAGCAAGGTATCAGGACTTTTGTTGTAATGCCCTGTTTATTTTTTGTAATTATTATTGCACTATTATTATTATTATTTATGATTGTTATTATTATTATTATTTATATTGTCTGCCTAATTGTAATTAAATGAGTATTAATATTCAATAAATATTATGCGTTATATATATATATATATATATATATATATATATATTGTTCAGTTTCATTTATGTTATCGATCGTTCGCCGAGCTTCGTAGATTAATTAAGTCGTGACCGAGAGAACCAAGCCCGGCGACACGCAACATATTTCTCTTTGGCGTTTTTATCCGAGCAATGAAAGGTTAATTTTAGCTCTAATTGGCCCTTGACCGGCCATTATTGAGGGATCAAATCAATTTTCAAATTCCTTTTTGATAACTCCTCTTTTTACCCATAATTTTTGGCATTAAGGATCAAATTAAACCCTCAGTATCCTGCTTTAATAAATCGAGAGAATTCATTTTCCCATCTCTTCTTAAATCCTCTGTCCCCTTCATGTTTTTCTTTCTCATGTAAAACGAACGACCATCATCTCTCTCTCGGCTTGAGCATAGCAGAAAGAAGGACAACCTTCTGCTCGTGAACTTCTCCTCCTCTCTCTCTCCCTCTCGATCATCGCCACCCTCACCCCTCACGTTATAGCCGACCACCACTTCAACTCACGGCCATCAGGAACCCCGAGGCCCGCTGTCTGTGTCTTGGCACCCCTGCGAGCAATTTTTCCGGCGAGTCCCTTTTTCCCGACAAGTCTTGTCCGTCGCCCATCATCGTCTCCGACGCGAGCAGGTCGTCGACCACCCGGAGCAACACTCCGTGACGTATGCAGGCCCGCGAGAAGCCATCCCGCAATGCGGTTCCTCCATATTTTCTGGATAGAGCACCTCCCATTAGGTGTGTTCATCAAGCCGCGAGCCGAGCGAAAGCCGTCGAGCCTCCCCACTCGTGTTTAAGTCCCGAGTCCCGTCCCATTTGTCCGACCCGTCTTTTTGATTTGTTTTCCGAAGACGGATAATATTTTTGAACCTTCTCGCTATTTCGTTCATGCTCGTGTATCATGATGTTGGATATATACCGTGCGTTATATCGAATCCTTTTTTGAAGTCGGATTCCTTTCGGTTTTTCTATTTATTCATTTATTTATTCGTTCATGCTATCGTGACTTGACGTGGATGATTGGAGCTCTCGTTTTTGTAAAAATGAGTATCGTAATGTTGCTGTGATTATTTCGGTTTGTTTCGAAGTCTCGATATCATTTTTCAAGTTGTCGTTTTACCGTTCGTTTGATTTGTTTATGGCATGGTGTAGCTCGAAAATACTGCTTTGTTGTGTTGTGATTATGACCCTCAAACGTCCGTTATCTGAAGTTGGGTTCTTTCTATAAAATGAAGTTCGTTTTGTTAGCTTTCTCTGGGCTTTAGAATCATGTAATGCCGATTTGAAACAAATAAGTTGTGATTTTTGCAGAATTGTCGCGCAAACAGTTTTATTAAAACCCGGCAGCTTGTGTTTCTTTTATGTTTGACCTGTTTATCATGTCTTAAAGTGCTCAAACGTGTAAGTAACCTTCATAAAAGTTATAGGTTTATTTCTTAGATTTCTTTTGAGGTATGGTTCATGCTGATACGAGCACTGTAGCTCGAGTTGTGTTCAAATGAATGTAGATATGCATGAGGTAGGGTTTGCACTTTTGGCAGGAACCTTTTTCTAAACAGGAACCTTTTTCTAAATGTTAACTGCTTTTGCACAATCTTAATGAAAGTTGTAGGTGTATGCCTTAGGTTTAATTTGAGATTTGAATCAAGTCATTCGATGGTCTGTAGCATGAGTTAGAGTCCAATTTCTGAAGTGATGTTTGTATCCTGTTTTAGTTTCTGAGAGATTTTATGACTCGCATTTTTTTGTTTAAACTCCTTGATAACATCATTATTTGTCATGAGGTCTTCTGTTATAATTGTGTTTACTTCATTTTGGTTTTCGAATCTCATTAAAAGCATGTCTATAGCTCCAGTTATTTAGTAAATACTGAGGTCAGGGCAGTCGCATGTTCTCAGCTTTTGACTGCTACTCTATTTTGGATGTTTGCTGAATTATCACCTGCTAAATGTCGTTATTTGTTTTCGGTGTCAAATAAGAATTGTAAAGGCATGTCTTAGGATTTTGATGCAATTGGAATCAGATTAACACGATTTATGTGCTGCAAGTGGTGTCGATTTCAAAATAGCTGTGCGGGTTATGTTTTGAAAATTTATGTGGTGCTTCCGAAAATAAAATTTATCTTTTTAATGCTTGCTTCTATGACTTATATGGGTTGAACTGATCTAAGTGGTTTTTTTATATGAATCGTAAATGCAATGAGTTAGTTAGTGCATGGGTCGGATAGTTATTGATAGGGCCCTCTTAATTATTGTAGGTGTCTGACGAGCCGAGCTCTCAATCTACTCGTATCTTTCGTGATATCTGTTGCTTCCAACCAGGTGGGTTTTATTTAAAATTTCTATGCAGTAAATTATTTTCTTTCGTGTGGTGTGATCAA